AAGTTTTTGGCAAGTTAGTTCTAGATGTTTGTTAAAGTTGAGATTTTTGGTCAGGTAGAATCCAAGATATTTCATGATATCGCTAGTTTTAATAACAGTGTCATCTATTTTAATTTTTAAATTTTTGTCTTTGGTGCTATTTGCTAGAATTAGAGCTTCTGTTTTGTTGTCCTCTATAAACAATTTTTTCTTCCTGATTTTATTCTTTAATTTTTTAGAAGAGCTTTCAGTTTCTTTTAGTAATGTTTCTTGATTTTCGGACTCGAAGGCCAAAAGGGTGTCGTCAGCATAGACATTCTTATCGACGTTTGGACCAAGTTTCATTCTCACAATCTCATCAAATATGATAAGGAAAATAAGGGGGCCCAAAATACTACCTTGGGCACCACCAGAGTTTAACTTAATTTTGAAGTCGGGGAACACTAAAAATCTATCTGTCAGATAGGATTTCATAATTCTTATCAGGTAAGGGGGTACATTTCTTTTACAAAGGGTGCTTATGAAGTCCAACCAGCTAATGCTATTGAATGCATTTTTTATATCGAGAGATACTAAACAGAGTAGACCTCTTCTGCTCGCAGGTTTCCTCGTGTGATAATCCAATATCCTCTTGACAGATTCCATGGCCGTAATGGTTGATTTACCTTTGCGGAAACCATGTTGTCTGTTATCAAAGTTAAAAATACTAGAGAGTCTATAAGCGAGAATGTGTTCAAAAATCTTTGAAAGGGTGTTGATTAGGCAAATGGGCCTATATTTCTTTTGAGGATCACCTGGCTTTATTTTTGGAAACAATATCAGTTTTGCCTCTTTCCAATTGTCAGGAAAATAGCCTTTTTTTAGAAGATTATTGCACATTTCAGTGAAAATTTTTATATTAGTGTCGATAAAGAGTTTGGTTATCACAGGAAGAATACCGTCGGGACCAGGGGCTTTACCATTTTTCAACTTTTTAATTGCCTGGCGAACTTCATCTATAGAAATTTCGGGAATTTCAGAGTTATTGACTAAGGTATCTCTCCAGACGACATCACCATGATCTGGAAAAAGTTTAGAGATCTGGTCTAGCAGTTCCTCCTCAGAGAGGGTTGAATTATCATGGGATCTGGGATTTTTGAGGCGACGTCTGAAAATTTTATATCCTTTGCCCCATATATCAGTATCTAGTTCATTAATTAGATCTTTATATTTTTTCTTTTTGGACTCGGCAATTTTGAAGGTAAGTTCTTTCTTTAGATTATCTAATTCGGCTAATTTATCAAGTAACGGTAATTTTTTCCTTCTGAGTTCCATTAATTTTCTTCTTAGTTTCTGACAATTTTTTCTTATATTTCCAATTTCTTTGGTCCACCAATATAGTGGAGTAAGAGGGGTTACAGTTGATTTTTTAACAAAATGAGCATCTGAGGCTTCTGAGATTATTTTATCGCATAGAGATGGAGAAAGCTTCGATTCTGCTGTATATTTAGTAGTTAGTTTTTTAACAGTTTTAATAAAGTCTGGGAATTTTTCTTTGTTTATAAACCAACCAGAATTATCTATAGAAACTTTGTTATTATTATTAGTACTAGAGTCTTGTCGAATGTTAATAACAATACTTCTGTGATCAGAAAGGGTGTAGGAATCTAAAACTTCTATATTAATGTTATCAGTTAAGTCTGGACTAGAGATTACCAGATCTGGAATGGAGTGAAAGCCTCTGGAATTAATGAAGGTGGGCGTAAATGTATCATGATTATTGTGGATGACAAGTTCGTTTTCAAAGATCCAGTTTTCTATTATACGTCCTCTAGAGTTATAGATTAAGTCGCCCCAAGCGGGGGATCTACCATTGAAATCGCCTAATATGACAAAAGGGCCTTTGATTCTTTTTATGCGAGTTTCCAGGATAAATAAAGCTTTCTGCATCTCTATGTTACAATCATTGGGGGAGAGATATATACCAATTATAGTTATGGATGACCAGGTAAACAGAATGTAATAGGGTCCGGCTTCCCAGTTTGAGGTGGAGCCAATAAGAAACGGTGTTGTATAGGCAGATACCCAGAGGTCTAAGCTAGAGTATAAGGAATCTAAGCTGGCTTTTGCTACGTTAGGTTCTGTGAAGAGATAGCATCCAATTTGTCGTTGTTGAACAATTTGTTTGTTAAGATCATGAGAGTGGGGATTCGTATTTACATTACCTAGTAAAATGGACAGTTCAGCTTTGGTTGAAGTGCCAGTTTTAGCCAAATTAGCATCTATAGTACCTGACAGTATTGATAAGTCAGCTTGATTAGTATTATTATTATTTCGAATAATGTTTAGAGTATTCGTGGGCATATTTTTACTAATAATTACTTCATTCTCATCTACTTTTTTGAAGACGATTTTATCTCTATCAGTAATGAAAGTATCAGATTCCTCGCTTGAATCATAACAAAAGGGAACATTCTCTTGTCTTAATTCGCATGCCGATGAGTTTGATTGTGAGTTATCGGCCTCATCAGAACTAAAAGCCGTAGACCATATAGGAGGGAGTGAAATTGGTCTAATAATTCTGCCACATGAAAGTTTTAGAGGGGGGAGCAGCATATCTTTACATTTAGTACAATTTTTGACTTTAATATTATGTCTGCACCAAATACAATTAATATCGGAATAAGA